AGTCCTGAAAAAAAAAAAAAAAAACATTTTAAACTTTACCAAACTTCTATTAATGCATAATTTAAGTTGGTTTTTAGTTTTAGATCTTCATATTAATATTGTAGTGTTATACAACAGCATTAATTAGTTTGGTTTATTTCAAACATGTATGCAAAACAAAACAAAAAAATGAATTAATAGCCAATTTAATTTAATCTAACCAATTTATGCCATTAGTTACATTTAAAATTGAATACCATTTCAAACAGTATAACCTGTTGTCAACATAATTATGGAGTGTGACTTATTTTCAACTCAAAGTATCTTCAAACTAATGAAACAAAATTATTAATGAGGAAAATCTGTCTGGATAACTGCAGACTGACTGCTTGTAAAAGATACGACAGGTCTGGACAACTCATGCATTTTGATTGTATCTGAAAAAAAATCTTACAATATGAAAAAATTGGTAGATGCCACAAATTCTCCTAAATCACTATACGCACAACTTAAGAACAAATCTGTTCATATGAACGGTTCTTGCATGAGGCCCTATGTTTAAGTGTATGTGCACATTTTGCCGTGTGCAGGATGTGCTTTCTATGTTCCTGTGACCAAAAGAGCATAGTTCAAGCTTTTAGTGGTGTGGTTTCAAAGAGTTTGTATACACTCCCATTGCTCTAATCTTCATTCATGCTACTGGCATACGCTTCCTTACTCTGTCTCAGCTTGAACAGAGTGTTTGTACAATAATGCTCAAATTGCTTCTTTGTCTCATGTTGACTGGCCAAGCCAAATGAAACAGATGGACTCCTATCTTTTGTTGACTGAAGATGTCTACATCTTTGTGAAACGTATCAGTTTGATTTATGGTGTGCGTATTCAAGATTCATAATTTTGGCTGTAGCAGGTTTGGCCACAATCTGATTTTCACTGGCTCTTACAATGCAGTGCTAGAATTTGTATTGGCAGTTTGGTTTCAGAAAACCACAACCCATAAAAAAGTTGAAATGTTTCAAATATATTTGTTTAAGTCAAAATAAGATTTTTCAAGACACCAAAGAAGCAAATTTTTAATGATACCACTGGATTTTGTTTTCCGCTATAAACACAGCTAATCATACAATTATGTCACACAATGTTTAAGGACATTCCTGCAGCCTGAACGATTCAAAATCTCATCCAGCTAGCAGCATCACAAGGCAGGTATTACAAAGCACAAAGTACTTCTGGATTGGATAAGAGGAGAAAAAAAGACAAATATCGATTTTTAGGTCACATCTTTCATCTACAAAAACAAGCAAGCCTTTTTTAACTAAACATTGTTCATTTTTGGCTTGTTTTGAATCATTTCAAACATGTTTGTACCATGTCATAACATCCTTTTTATCTCTCCATTTCCATCCTCCAAAGTGTTTAAGCCTTCGCAGGTTTGTCACTGCTCCACTTGTTCTTCTTTTTCCCTTCTGTCTTCATTCTTTATTTCAACCTACTCCATGGCAGTTATTTATTCAACCCTCTCATCTTGGGCTTTGTCTCTGTCTCCCATGGTCTGTACCCTTCCTCTTCATAGCTGTCTCCTACTGGAATATCTGATACAGTCACCTTGTTAACACTTTAAAGCTGTTAAGATCAGAGAGCTTGACAAGCTGCAGTGGAATGTGGCAGGCCTGCTCCTGATTATACAGACTTAAATATGCGACAGCCAATTTGCTCCCTCTGAAACCTACAATAAACTAACGATTTAGTGCATCCCCTCTGCAAATGTGAACTCCTGATCCGCAATTGTCCATTCTATTTGAATATATTCTATTTATTTTAAATGCAATCTAATATATTCTCCTCTTATATAACCTGCAACATATACTTGTTTGAACCGAGTTTCCGCTTTGACGTACCAAATGTACCGTGTTAAGACCGGACTTTAAAACAAAAGAAACCATGCCTTTCTGTGTGTGAGTCACTTGTCATCATCTTCAGTAGGTTTACCTCTTGTGACAGCTGATAGATGCGTTGTTATGACCCAGAGGTGCTTCTGACAGGGCATCAACAACCTCACTCTTCCCTGAGTCACCTACAGCCCTCCACTGTAAATGCTTCAACAACATGGACTGCTTTGGTTTTAGTTTAATTCAAGGACAGTAGTTAATTAAATTAAAATTATTTGAAATTTTACTTGTCCCAAATGACATTTTGAACTGTTGCAGAATCAATTGCAAAAGTGTGGAAGTCTACAAACGATTAAAGCTCTGTTGTGCAAAAAAAAAAAAGAAAAGTTAAAATTGTGTGTTTATAACGTTAAGCAGGTTGTGCAAAATCCCCCTAAAAATATCAGCTATAGTGTGTCATCAACCAGAGAGGTAGAGATGAATAGATCTTTGCAGCCATTTTCAGGACCTTAGTGTGAACAGGGCTATTGTGTCATTATAGGGGTTGGGCACATTTAATAGGCTGTGTTACAGTTTATGACTGAGGTACAAGGTGGAACTGTAGAGTTGTGACAGAGAGACTGTAGGGCCAGGAAGGATGTGATGTCTGTGTAACTGGAGGTAGGTAAGCAGAATGCTTTCTGCCTCAGCTGAGCCTGTTAGAAGAAATAAAAAGTGCAGTTCATTGGCTTCATTCAGGACACTTTCACTCTTTTCCACCTTCACCTGAAACCCTTTTCTTCTTGGATCACACAACCCCACATGCTGTTCTTCAGCTTGATTTCCAGCTCTTCCAGTTCATACAGTATTTCTGTTCGCTTTTGCTTAGTTTTCAGCTCTCCCTGTCTCTCTGTGCGCTTGTTTTCACTTCCATTAGCCTCTAGTTATCAGATTTTTTCACATCACTGGTAATTCAAGGCTTGTTTTTCAAATGGTTCCTTGGTGACTAGTGGGAAGTGCATTTTACATGCAGGATTTCCATCATAATTACTGTTTACCATTAGTCACAACTATATAATAGTAATATATATGCAAGGCTTAGTAAACATATCAACCATGTCAGCACCTATTCAGAAATTGTCTTGACGTTTCTGGAAGGAACAGACAAGAAACAAGAAATTAGGATCTGTTTGAATCAGCAGGGTAAAATGTGTTGGCAAAAAGGGTGATTGTGGGTTTACTCTACACATGCATCTCTGATGTAAGGTGTGTCATATCACTACTTTTTACTCCAATATCATTCACCTTTCAGGCCTTTATTGTCTTGTCTATTGTGCAAATTACTGGCTTCATCCTGGAGAATTTTCAAAACATCAGAGTTTGTTAGTTATCTTTATAGCTTCTCAAAATGTGATGTCAAACTTGATTTGCTCAACATATCTCATTATCCAGTGTGTGTGTGTGTGTGTGTGTGTGTGTGTGTGTATG